CGACTTCCCTACTCCCCGACTCCCCGACTTCCCGACTCCCCGACTCCACGACTGGCCGACTCCCCGACTCCCCGACTGGCCGACTCCCCGACTGGCCGATTGGCCGACTCCCCGACTCCCGACTGATCGACTGGCCGAGTGGCCGATTCCCCGACTGGCCGACTGGCCGATTCCCCGACTCCCCGACTCCCCGACTCCCCGACTGGTCGACTGGCCGACTGGCCGAGTCCCCGACTCCCCGATTGGCCGACTCCCCGACTGGCCGACTTTTTTGATTTTTTGTTTTTTTTAATCTTTCCCACGACTCCACGACTCGGGCCGACTCCCCGACTGGCCGACTGGCCGATCCCCGATGGCCGACTAGGCGACTGGCCGACTCCCCGACTTCCGACTGGCGATTCCCCGACCTCCCCGAGGCCGATTGCCGACTCCCGAAGGCCGACTTCCCGACTCCCGATCCCCAGACTCCCGATTCCCGACTCCCGGATTGCGACTCCCTGACTCCCGACTCCACGGACCTCCCGATTGCCGCGTCCGCGACTGGCCCACGGGCCCATCTACATTGGCCGACTCCCGACTGGCGACTCCCGACTGGCGACTCCGACTCCCGAGCTCCCGACTGGCCGACTGGCCGACTCCCGCGCTGGACGACTCCCCGATGGCCGACGCCCCGATCCCCGACTCCCCGACTCTCCGACTGGCCGACTCCCCCGCCTGGCCGACTCTCCGACTCCCCCGACTCCCCGACTCCCCGACTCCCCGACTCCCCGACTGGCCGACTCCCCGACTCCCCGACTGGCCGACTCCCCGACTGGCCGACTAGCCGACTCCTCGATTGGCCGACTCCCCGACTCCCCGACTCCCCGACTGGCCGACTGGCCGACTGGCCTACTCCCCGACTCCCGCTTGGCCGACTCCCCGACTGGCCGATTGGTCGATTGGCCGACTCCCGACTCCCCGACTCCCCGATTGGCCGACTCCCCGACTCCCCGACTGGCCGACTGGCCGACCTGGCCGACTGGCACTCCCGACTCTCCGCTTGTCCGACTCCCCGACTGGGCCGATTGGTTCGATTGGCGACCTCCGCTCCCCGACTCCCCGACTGGCCGACTAGCCGACTCCTCGATTGGCCGACTCCCCGACTCCCCGACTCCCCGACTGGCCGACTGGCCGACTGGCCTACTCCCCGACTCCCGCTTGGCCGACTCCCCGACTGGCCGATTGGTCGATTGGCCGACTCCCGACTCCCCGACTCCCCGATTGGCCGACTCCCCGACTCCCCGACTGGCCGACTGGCCGACTCCCCGACCTCCCGACTGGCCGACTCCCCCAACTGGCCGACTCTCCGACTCCCCCGACTCCCCGACTCCCCGACTCCCCGACTGGCCGACTCCCCGACTCTCCGATTCTCCGACTCCCCGATTGGCCGACTCCCCGACTGGCCGACTGGCCGACTGGCCGACTGTCCGACTCCCCGACTGGCCGACTACCCGACTCCCCGATTGCCCGACTCCCCGACTCCCCGACTGGCTGATTGGCCGACTCCCCGACTGGCCGACTGGCACACGACTGGCCGACTCCCCGACTCCCCGACTGGCCGACTCCCCGACTGGCCGATTCCCTGACTCGCCGACTCCCCGACTCCCCGACTGGCAAATTCCCCGACTGGCCGACTGGTCGACTCCCCGACTCCCCGACTGGCCGACTCCCCGACTGGCCGACTTCCCGACTCTCCGACTCCCCGACTCCCCGACTCCCCGACTGACGGACTCCCCGACTGGCCGATTCCCCGACTCGCCGACTCCCCGACTCCCCGACTCCCCAACTGGCCGACTCCCCGACTCCCCGACTCCCCGACTCCCCGACTCCCCGACTCTCCGACTCACCGACTGGCCGACTGGCCAACTGGCCGGCTCCCCGACTGGCCGACTCCCCGATTGGCAGACTGGCCGACTCCCCGATGAGGAGTCGGAAAGTTCATTTAGGCACCTCGAAAAATGTCCTCTCCCGAGCTAACCAAGGGTCGGTCTGACTGGTGTGCCCAGCGGCACCCCTTCCAGTCATGTCGATCGTTGCCCGAGAACGCGGCAAAACAAATCACTCTGAAGCGGGATCGTCGTCACATCGTCTCGCCCACTGTCCTGGTATGCGGGTCCTCACGTGTAGCGCGTAAGCTTCAAGCTTGCGCGGGCGGTTCTCCGCCGGCGCCCGACCCCTTCCTCGCACCTTCGGGCGCGCCTTCGCCGCTGGCCCCTGCGGGCGAAATGCACCAGAGAAGGGCGCGGAGAAGGGCCACGCGCTGGCGGAGAAACCATCCAGCGAAAGCCGAAAACTACACGACTCCGTTAATTTGTTTTTCCTTCGCCCCTGAAGGAGTTTGGGGGTGGAGGGAGGGAGGGACGGACAGAGGGGGGGAGGGGGAACGGGATTGATGGATGGACGGAGCGGGGGGGAGGGGGCAGCAAGGAGGGAGGGAGGGAAGAAGGCACGGAGGAGTAGGCGGCGGCGGTGCCGCCGCCGCCGCCGCCGCTGGAACCGCCGAGCTGGAGCTGCGAGGCGCGATGGGGCAGCTGCGGCGCGCGCGGCGGCTGGGGGCGCTGGGCTGCTGCGGGGTTCCAGGGCCGCCGATGTCCGCTCTCCCCAGAGGTCCCAGTGGACGCGGGACCACCCGGGGCTGCAGAGGAAGAGGAGGAGGATGACGAAGAGGAAGAGGAGGAGGGGGTGGAGGAGGAGGAGGAGGAGGAGGAGGAGGAGGAGGAGGAGGAGTAAGAGGAGGAGGATGAGGAGGAAGGGAAAAAGGAGGAAGAAGGATGCTGCTGCTGCTGCTGATGATGATGGTGATGATGATGATGATGATGATGATGATGATGATGATGATGATGACGATGATGATGATGATGACGATGATGATGATGATGATGATGATGATGATGATGATGATGATGATGATGATGATGATGTGGAGGAGGAGGAATTGGAGGAGGAGGAGGAGCAGGAGGAGGAGGAGGAGGACGACGATATTGAACCAGTGCTAACCCAAGGCCCTTCAACGATATCGCAATAAACACTCCCTACAATTTTCCCGCTCATAGGCCTCTACAATAATTCATTTCAAGCGAAGGAAATACCCCGTTGGAAAACAATTGTTTGTAAATCCAGAGTTGCGCCAGAACGCCATTCGTGGGATTTCACGACTCTGATCACCGTTACTGTTGCGTGTTGGCGATCCCGAATCGTGCCAGAACGCAGCTCCTGGGACTATTACGCCACTAATCAACGTAATTGTTGCGCCCTGACAATCCGAAATCTCTGGGACGCTAGCCATGATAATACTTGACTCGAGGCGATGGACACATTTTGAGAACGACCCGCCCTCAATGCGTAAAACGATCGCACATGTTTAAAACGAATGCGCGCGGCGCTAAGGTCAGAGCCACAGTATGTAAACAACTTGCCCTCTATCCGTGAAACGTTTGCAGTATTATCAAACGAATGTGCGCGGCGTTAAGGCGAGAGCCACATTTTGAAAACGTCCCGCCTTCCATCTGTGAAGCTCTTGCATGTTATCAGGTGAGGAAGTCTCAGGGTAAACGCCCGGCCAGCCCTTTCGACCTGCCTCGGGGTGCAACAGGGTGGAATTATCCGTAAGGGCTTCGCCCCCTGCCGCCGGCCCCCTCTCTCGGAGAATGGGCCATGGAAGAGCTAAGTCATGAGGCCTTGGCGCTGTCGTGAAGCAGTATCGAAATTTCATGCGAAGCCGATTCGCAATCAGCAAAACCAACTGATCACAAGAGGGGTTACCACACCTGGCGATTGGTAAGACGTGTATGGATTACGGGCTTGGTTACCACACCTTGCGATTAAAGGGCCGAGGGAGTTCTCGCAGTTTGGGTTACCATGCCTTGCGATGGATGTGCGTGAAGGGTGGCACCGAATTTCAGAAATGTGGCAAATCCCTTGTGTTTTTGGACCCTGACCCCGCGGATCTGCGTAAGGGGTGGCACCGAATTTCAGAAATGTGGCAAATCCCCTGTGTTTTTGGACCCTGACCCCGCGGATCTGCGTGAGGGTGGCACCGAATTTCAGAAATGTGGCAAATCCCCTGTGTTTTTGGACCCTGACCCCGCGGATCTGCGTGAGGGGTGGCACCGAATTTCAGAAATGTGGCAAATCCCCTGTGTTTTTGGACCCTGACCCCGCGGATCTGCGTGAGGGGTGGCACCGAATTTCAGAAATGTGGCAAATCCCCTGTGTTTTTTGGACCCTGACCCCGCGGATCTGCGTGAGGGGTGGCACCGAATTTCAGAAATGTGGCAAATCCCTTGTGTTTTTGGACCCTGACCCCGCGGATCTGCGTGAGGGGTGGCACCGAATTTCAGAAATGTGGCAAATCCCCTGTGTTTTTGGACCCTGACCCCGCGGATCTGCGTGAGGGGTGTCGATTTCGAGCCCCCCAGCAGTTCAGACAACGCGCCCAGGAGACGCTAAAAATCCCGTTTGGGCCTCCCCCCCTCCCCGCGCGGTCAATCAACTAGTTACAGTAACCAGCAAGAAGCAGAACTGCAACACCGGAAACTACAAACTACGACTGGTACAGGAATCTGCGAATCACGGGCCTACAGCCTGGTGGCCCCACAAGGGGGCCGGCGGATTTATAAGGAAAAGGAATGGACGAAGAGGAAGAGGAGGAGGAGGAGGAGCAAGAGGAGCAAGAGGAGGAGGAGGAGGGGAAGGAGGCGCAGAAGGAGGAGAGGGGGAAGGCGAGGATGATGTGGAGAAAGAGGAAGAACAATAACAAATAAGAACAATGAGAAGAAGACAAATATTAATAGGGATGAAGGGGAGGAATGCTCCTTGCTTCATGTGGGCGGGAGGAGGGGAGCAAGATGGAAGAGGAGGGGACGGCAAGAGGATGAGACTGATGAGGATGAATGAGAGGAAGGAGGTGAAACAGGAGAACGAGAAGGAGGTGGAGGATGAGGGTGAAGCTTGGCTCCGAGGCAGCCCAGCCGGGAGCTGACGTCCAGATCAAAGCTGGCGGCAAGTTCGACTGGGAGGTTTTCCCGTCTCTTCCTCTTTTCCTCCTCCTCCTCCTTCTCCTACTCTTCCTCTTCATCCTCCATTCTTTTCCCTTATAAATAATTCCTCCCTGTCACACACGGAGGCCAGTCGGAGTGGCGGGGCCGGGCGTTTCGCCTGAGACTTCTTTACCATTTGTGATCCTGAAGTTGAAATTTTCCAACAGGTTCGCAGATGGAGGGTGGGTAGTTTTCAAAACACGTTGCTCTCGCCTTAGCGCCGCGCAGGTCCGTTTTAAGAAGTTGCACGCGCTTCACATATTGAGGGCGGGTTGTTTTCAAAGTGTGACTCTCGTTTTAGCGCCGCGCACACTCGTTTTTAACATTTGCAAGAGTTTCACAGCTTGGGGCGGGCGGCTTTCAAAATGTGACTCTCACTTTAGCGCCCGCGCATTCGTTTTAAGAAGTGCAACAGCTTTTTGGATTGAGGGTGGGTGGTTTTGACAATGTGACTATCGCTTTTTGCGCCGCGCACATTCGTTAAATTAAAAATGGCAAGCTTTTCACGGATTGAGGGCGGGTGGTTTCCAAATGTGATTCTCGAATTAGCGCCGCGCACATTCGTTTCAAACATGTACAAGAGCTTCACATACTGAGGGCGGGCCATTTTCAAAATGTGGCTCTCGCCGTAGCGCCGCACATTCCTTTTAAACAAGCGCAAGGGCTTCACGGGTTGAGGGTGGGTGTTTTTGATGTGGTTCTCACCTGCGCGCCATGCACATTCACCGAACACAAGTCGTCATCTTTTCCCTGTGTGAAGGCGTGTGGTTTTCAAAATGTGATTTTCGATTCAGCGCCGCGCGCATTCATGTCAAACGTGTGCAAGAATGTCACGTATGGAGGGCGGTTCCTTTTCAAATTGTGGTTCTCGCTTTAGCGCCGCGCACATTCGTTTCAAACATTTACAAGAGCTTCACATATTGAGGGCGGGCCGTTTTCAACATGTGGCTCTCGCCGTAGCGCCGCACATTCGTTTTAAACAAGCGCAAGGGTTTCACGGGTTGAGGGGGGGGGGGTGTTTTTGATGTGGTTCTCACCTGCGTGCCATGCACATTCGTTGAACACAAGTCGTCATCTTTTCCCGGTGTGAAGGCGTGTGGTTTTCAAAATGTGATTTTCGATTCAGCGCCGCGCGCATTCATGTCAAACGTGTGCAAGAGCTTCACGTATGGAGGGCGGTTCCTTTTCAGATTGTGGTTCTCGCTTTAGCGCCGCGCACATTCGTTTCAAACAGTTGCAAGAGTTTCGCGGTTTCCCATGGTTACCGCACCAGAAATCGCATCTTGGAACGATCCAGGAGTGTCAGGGCGCAACAGTTACGTTGATTCGCGGTGTTGAAGTCCCAGGAATTGTGTTTGGGCGCGGCTCAGGATCGTGAACACGCAACAGTCAGGTTGATTCGTGGGGTTCATGTCCCGGGAATGGTGGTTTTGGGCGTTTCATGATTTTCAAACGGTTGTCTCCCAACGGTGCGCTTCCCTCAGTGGAAGTGAGTCCATGTAGGGGCATATGAAGAGTGAGCTTGGAGGGATGGTTTATCCCAGCATCGTTAATCACTCTTGGGTTTACACTGGTCATCCTCCTCCTCATCCTCCTCCTCCTGCTCCTCTCCCTGTCCTCCTCATCCTCCTTCTCCTCCTTCTCCTCGCCCTCTTCCGTGTTCACCCTTAGTCTCCTCGTCCTCCTCTTCGTCGGCGGGAGGAGGGAGGCAGGAAGCGAAAGGGAGGCGGGATCAGAGAGGTGGAGACCACAGCGTTCTGTTCAGGACAAGCTCCCAACGCAGGAGGGTTGGGACAAATATTGCAAGGGCCCCAGTTGGCCGCGTCCTCTATGAGTAATTGCTTACCCCTTGGCGCCCTGCCCCGCCCCAGACCCAGCGTCATCCATGAGTAATCGCTAACCCATCCGATCCCCCCCCAGTCATTCTACAGTCGGACCGAGGTATAAGATCGAGGTCGGTTCGGGGAGGGTGCCATGCTCTGTCTAGAAGGGTTCTTACTCTCTTGGCTTAAAGGGCCGGGCAATGGGAACCGGCCCGGGCGGTTCCCCCAGTATCCGCCCCGCGGTTCCCCCAGTTACGTCCCCTCAGCATAGCGTTGCTTATCTCATCTTAGCTTAGCTGATTTCAGCTTAGCTTAGCTTAGGTTCATCTTAGCTCAGGTTTAGCTTAGCTTAGCTTACCTTCATCTTAGCTTCGCTGAGCTTTAGCATAGCAGAGCACAGCATAGCATAGCATAGCGTAGCACAGCATGGCGCAGCATAGCATATCATAACATAGCCCAGCATAGCATAGCATAGCATAGCGCAGCATAGCATAGCATCGTATAGCATAGCGCAGCACAGCACAGCACAGCACAGCACAGCATAGCGCAGCATAGCATAGCATAGCATAGCATAGCATAGCATAGCATAGCATAGCATAACATAGCAGCAAAGCAAAGGCAAAGCAACAGCAGCGATCCTCGAGCAGTATTTTGTGGCGCTCGAGTGTGCCAGCCGCGTTGCCAGTTTAGTTTTCTGTTCGGGTAATTAGCATGGGTGTAATTCCCTACCTGAGCTCTGCCTAGAGGGTTAGCTTAACTTAGCTTAGTTTAGCATAGCGCAGCGCTGCATTAGCATAGCATAGCATAGCATAGCCAAGCATATCATTCCATAACATAGCATAGCGCAGCATAGCATAGCATATCATAGCATATCATAGCATAGCGCAGCGATACAGACCCTGTTCGCCGGAAGTCCTGTTCGCCGGTTCCTGTTCGCCGGTTCCTGTTCGCCGGAAGTCCTGTTCGCCGGGTCCCCGTTCGCCGGGGTTCTGTTCGCCGGAAACCCTGTTCGCCGGTTCCTGTTCGCCGGTTCCTGTTCGCCGGTTCCTGTTCGCCGGTTCCCGTTCGCCGGTTCCTGCGCGCCTGAAGTCTTGTTCGCCGGTTCCCGTTCGCCGGTTCCCCTTCGCCGGATCCCTGTCGCCGGTAGCCGGGCCCCCGTTTGCCGAGCAGGAGGAGCAGCAGGAGGAGGCGCAGGGACTCGTAGGAGGAGGAGGAGGAGGAGGAGGAGGAGGAGGAGGAGGAGGAGCTGCAGCAGGAGGGGCGGGATCGGCATCAGGAAGGGCAACAGCAGCAGGAGGAGCAGCAGCATCAGGAGCAGCAGCAGGAGGGGCAGGAGCCGGAGGAGCCGGAGGAGCAGGAGCAGCACGTGAAGCAGAAAGGGACATGTCACGGCGAAGTGCGGCGGTGGCGCCGCCGAGCTGGCCACTGGCCCCTCTTCGTAATGGGGGGCATAGCACCCGCGGGTGCAGGCGCCCCTGCGGCGACACCAGTGCTTGCCGAGCCACATCAGGAACCCCCCAAACACAAAAATATGTCAAGGTTAGGGTGCATATAATGACTAAGTGGCTGGGGGGCGCCACGCAGCAGGCCACTGACCCCTCCTGCTTATGGGGGGGGGCATAGCACCCGCTTGCGCAGGCGCCCCTGCGGCGACACCTGTGCTTGTCGAGCCACATCAGACCCCAAAGCACAAAAATGGTTCAAGGTTAGGGGGCATATAACGACTAAGTGGCTGGGGGGCGCCACGCAGCAGGCCACTGCTCCCTCTTGCTCATGAGGGGCATAGCGCCAGCTGGTGCAGGCGCCCTTGCTGCGACACCTGTGCTGGCCGAGCAACATCGGACCCCCAAAGCACAAAAATGGTTCAAGGTTAGGGGGCATAGAACGACGAAGTGGTTGGGGGGGCGCCACGCAGCTGGCCACTGCCCCCTCTCGTTTATGGGGGGCATAGCACCCGCTGGCGCAGGCGCCCCTGCGGCGACACCTGTACTGCCCGAGCCACATCTATCCCCCAAAACACAAAAATGGTTTAAGGTTAGGGGACATATAACGACTAAGTGGTTCGGGGGGGTGCCACGCATCTGGCCGATGCCCCCTCTTGCTTGTGGGGAGGCATAGCACCCGCTGGAGCAGAGGCCCCTGCGGCGACACCTGTGCCGGCCGAGCCACATCATATCCCGAAACCACAAAAATCTTTCAGATCGAGGGGCATGTTTCGACTAAGTGGGCGGGCGGCGGCACGCAGCTGGCCACGGGCATCGTTTTCGTGGGAGGGCCATGGAACGCGCAGACGCCATTGTCCCTGCGGTCGCCCAGAGAAGGAAACGGAACGCGACGAAGAGGCGCCGCCCCCTGCGCGGCCATGAACGACCACGCACCGCGGCAGGGTTGTTAGGTACAGCGGCGGGCGCTGAATGCGTCGTCGGCAGGCGAGGGCCACAGGAAAGCCAGAACATTCCCACCCGGTCCACTGTGGAGCCGGCGGAGCTTGGAGGGCGCGCGAGGGATGCAGCCCTAGTGCGGCCTCCGCTGGGGCCGGATCGGGCCGCCTCAGTCGTCCCCCATGCGCAGCTTAGCCATGTTTGTGAGGAGGGCCATGCCGTCGCCGTCGCGCAAGAACTTCTCGACCAAATTGAACTGCCTGTCGTTGCGAATCCTGGTCGTGTCGCGCTCCTTCTTCTCGCCGCCCATGATGACATCGGTAATGTCCCGATTCGTGAGCCTCTGCTGCTTGTGCAGGCTCTCAATGAACGTCGGGAAGGAAGGGTGCGCGCCCTTGTGGAACTGCGTCGCATGGTGCCGGTGGAACAACTCCGCGGCGTTTGTGGTGAGAAACTTGTTCGCCAGCGCCCGGTCGTGGACGTTCCACAGGTCAATTGGGAACGTAGGCGCCTTGCGCGTCCTGGCCCTGGCGTGCTTCTCCCCCACCCAAGTTTTTTCGAAGTACGTCAGGAGCGGAAGCTCGGGGTTTTCGAACTCGTCAGCCAGCTTCTCGAACCAAGTGGCGACGTCGACGACGGGGATGAACGCCAAGGCGCATGACTTCCCCACCCGCAAGCGGAACTCAGGGTTGGCGCCGTACCGTTGACCGAGGTCCAAGTCGACCACGTGCTTGTGGACCGCGGCGCGAAAGTGGAAGAAGCATTCGCCCAGGTTCACTTCCA